AAATCAACTAATCACATAAAACAACTTTTCCATGTTAAAGACTCCATTCCAAACCCATTTTGTTTATGGATCATTTACACATGTACATGCTAACTACATTGGTAAAACTAAGTGTCATTTAATTGCACATATCCATGAACAAGTAGGGATATCCTATGGAACTGGTCTCCCTTTTTCATTTCCCTTCATCTCTTCTATCTGCACAAACAATCAAACTACTGGACACAAAACTCTGCAACTGACTTTAAAGTTTTAGCCCTGGATCACACAGACTTGCAACTGCTCATCAAAGAAAGTTTAATTATTAAACAAAATCTCTTCAACTTGAATGATAACTCAACTTCTGTTGACTTAAGCCTGTTCTAATTAATTATTTCTTACTAGCTATATAGATGCTGTTATTAATTCATTTAGTGTGGATCTATCTTATTTTCAAGTTTCATTTACAGGCTTTTACAATCCCCCTGTACTTACAATTGTTTACTATAATACATAGGCTTTTTTTAACATTCAGATGATTAATTTTAATTATGGTGTTTGTGGTTATTGTAATAAGTTGCTGAAGATGAAATGTATATTTTCCAAAACATCCAATAAATATGTTGTTATTCATCACTTCTGTAGTTGTGTTGTTCATCATTACACAAATCATTGTTTGCAAGCTGTATGGATAAGTATGTATAACACTTGAAATACCATCAGAATATGCACAAGTGAGTTTGATAGTACATTTACTTACACTGATATGAAATTTTCTGTACCAAATGAACTCTTCTTATCACATCCTTTACAATATTGAATGAGCTCTTCCAGTTCTAAATCATGTACAAAATCCTTTACACTTGCTAAACAGTTGATGTGTAGTATATGTACCACTAGTGGCACATGGAGCTAATGTAAGTGGTATGGAAAAAAATTAATATAAAGTATTTAATATGTCCAGTTTGAGCTTGCTGCATACATATACACACCACGCACTATATATTTTCTAATTATGCCAGAAAAACATTCACAGCCTTCTCATTAATTGGAGTTAAAAAATATAAATTATTGTTACTAGGTTACTTTTTTTTTAATTAGGTCAAGCTTTGTACTTCAGGAAAAAGTTCAAACAAAAAGTGGTACTTGAGTCTGAAAAGTTTGAGGACTATTTATCCAAGGTGTTGCTGCTTTTTCCACATAATCTTGTTTTGTTAGGAATCACAATAGTTATAAATGCATGTAGTATGTTCAGGCTTTCTAGCAAGCCCTAAAGTTTGTACGTCTGTCATCAGTCATTAATTTACATGGAAATTGGATAGGGTTCTTAAACAGTTAGTTCATAATATACAGGTCCCCCACTGGGACAGAGGTAAGTCTCTGGATTTACAATACTCAAATCAGGGGTTTGATTCCCCTTGGTGGGCACAGCAGATAGCCCGATGTGGCTTTGCTGTAAGCAAAACACATACACATAATATATAGAATCAAACTTTCTCAAACTACACAATATCTAAATAGCAATAATTTTTTCACAGTATTACCTGTCATACTTTTGACACAGAGAATAGTGTAAAAAAAATAATAATACAGACTTTGATGTAAAATGCTTTTAATTATGAAAACTCTGAAGCATAAAATTGTGTTAATAATAACATGAAATTTAATTCAAATTACTTGAAAAAGAAAAAAACTGACAAAACATCTTTCCAGCTATTAAACCTTTAAGCATCCAATAGAAATACCAAAGCTAACTGGTTGCCCATTTTAATTATATATATAAATTAATTTGGCTGGAAGAAATACAATATGTAGTTGAAGCATAGTCTGTATAAAATAGGTTAGTGTGGTTAGTATATATATTATTTAATTTTCTATGAAGCTAGATGTGGTGAGTTGTTTCAAATGTGTTCAAACTGTGTTATAATGAACGTGATAATTAAAAAGTATTTGTTACTTATATAACCATATATCTCACTGATATAATAAATTACTTGTACTAAATAAGTTAAAAGGTGTACTCCTGAGATCATTTCCAGGTGGTACTTCACGGCTTGTGAATTTGTGTACAACATTTGATTTTAGCTTTTGATAATCTTCTCAACTTAGTTTATGTCCCATCTGACAGAAATTGTTCAGCATGTTTTCCATAATTCCTACTTAACTTGTTGAAGTAGAACACCATGTTTGTTTATGTGCTAGGCTTTCAGCCTGAGTTCCTGTTGCAAGAATATTCAGATTGTGTGCCTAATGTACTAACATGTCAGTCCTTTTTGAAGTAAGTTTGTTGTGGTTTTGAAGATTGTACAAGTTGATACATACTGGAATAATGTTCAGTTGCTACAGAAAATGAAAACTGGTGAGGGTGATAATTATTATTCTCAGTGGAGACTACCTTCAATTACATTACATCAGCATAACCAAAAAAAAAAGTCTGCCAAGCTCTAATTTATGTCCACAAATCTATACACGTGATTTAAGTCACAGGCCTTTTTTTTTTTATTCTGTACCAAGCTAAATCAGACAATACCTCTTTCTGATAAAAACACAACTATTTTCACAGCCTTCTGTAAGTAAGTTGTCACATCTACACATCTTCTTTTGGAAAAATACTTTCACATGGACAAAGGTGCCAGAATGTTTGCAGCCACATGAATTGGATAAAGTGCAAGTTCCTTACATTTGTAAAATATCATGCTTCTCTTTAGAATTTGGTACATGATTAAAAGATAGTGACTTATTTCTTGACAGGTTCAAAAAGGCTCCACTGTCTTCTCTTCTTTTTTTCCCACAAAGATATCTTTGTCTAAGAATCTGGCCTTGGTCATTCTTTCTAGAGCAAGCTTGGCTCCTTCAGGGATTTCTAGAGCTTTAAGGACCACATTTGTAAGGCACAGCAAAATGGAGCCCATTGATTTCACAGAGACAATTGAATCTTTCTTATCATCTGCACGTCATTTTCTTCTATGACCTCAGATATGTTGTCAGCCAACATATTCATTACTGTGTTTGTCTATGGTTGAGATGATCTGCGTGTAGACAGCTGGTGCTGCTGTGTAATACTTCAACCATTACATTAAAGACCCAATATACATACTTCTGACATTTTCAGTTTTACACCATAATCAACTTTAGACTTCCTTGTTTAGTAGAGGAGTTGACAGTGGAGAGTAGGTTAGAACATATATGGATTTTGATTACATTCATTGGTAGGTTTGTAGCATATATTACTCTTCTAGTAATTCCAAGTCATGATATTTTTTCGTAGTTGTGAAGTAAACAGACCTCACCTTGTTGCAGTTTACATGGAGTGGTATTGATTACGTAAGGTTACTTAGCTATGGCAAGGCAACATGTGGGTCTGACGAGGCAGTCTACTTAAGACATTCTTTAACATATTGTTCATACCATATTTATTTTCACTAACACTTCATGCCTCTGTACTTAAGAAGACCTACAACTAATATTGGACTTACTTGAGTCTTTCCATGGCTCACACGTGCATGTGCATTACAAATTATAATGAAAACTAATAATATTGCTAACCAGTCATTTATGAGTGAAAGTATAAAAGAATGTATAGCAATATGTCAACCATACTGTATCTGCTATATCCAGTACCAGTGAGGCCTTTTGTCTAGTACCAGGACTCATCAGGTTAGCTAGGATACAACAGACACAGTAATGGTTTCTCATATGTTACTTAGGAAATTACAAGCCTTAATCGTATACTATTCTTTCAGTGCTTTGCATTTAAAAAAATTAAGCAAGTGAAATCTTGAGACACCTTCATGTACCCCTTTAAGTTAACCCTTCAAAAGACATATTACAGGTTCGCTAAATCTCAGTTTGTACTCTATAGATTAATATTTTAATAAGTTGACGAATAGATGATGTACATAACTTTTAACACAGAAATGTATCTTTATGACAAACAGGTTGTCAAACTACAGCTCTTCCTCTGATATATATAGTAAAATGAAGGAGCTCAGAATAATGTATGCATTGGGACAAAATTATGCTCAAGAAGGTGTGCAAGCATGATCACAAGACTCAAAAGCAAAGCTATGTTCTTTGGTGATGGTATATTATGATAAATAAAAAACACACACTTAATTTAGTTCACACCATAAGTTATTTTAATGCAGTTTGATAATATAAGTGATGTGCAAATAAAGTTATTTGTGTTTTAAATAATTTACCAATGACAACATGACAGTTTATTCTGATTTTGAGAAGAATCGTAAACTATCTTTATTCTTAAAAACTTATTTACACATTTATGTGTGTGTGTGTAATGTTACCTGTTTAAATGTTTTAAGTTGTAGGCTAGTAGAAAGATTGTGTACTAACCCTTGTAAGGTATATTAATCAACAGTATCGAGTCTGGATGGGTGAAAATATTAACATATGTGTGAGTCATTGATATTTCGTCCAAGAACTAAGTATTTTAGATATGGAAATATTACAAAACAGAACAATAGAAATGCTTCACAATATTTACCTTTTAGGTAAGGAATTTATTTGTTAGCTTAAAAAATGAATGTAACACTAATTTTTAAATTATTATATCATTCTCTTTAGATAATTCATTTTACCTTAGATTTTTTGTTTTTCTGAATTTTTTGGTATAACCCACCATATCCTTAAGACAAAATTAATTATAGCCTAACACCTATTTTACACTTATTCATACAATCAGCTTAATGTTTTGAGTGCTATGTGGAGCCAGGGGAAACATCTTTGAAACATATTGGCAGTTTATTTGTTACATAACCTGCTGTGTATCATACAAGTGTTTTTTAATGTTCCTTTCATATATAGTCCATCAAAAGCAAATTGCAATACCATCATTCCATATTCTTATCTCTTTTGCTGAAGGTTTAAATATGTACATTTCTATTTAATATTAAGTTTTTTAGAACTTTATTGTATTGAAAAGTAGGTATAGGAAGATACGAAAAACATTTGTAATATTTCTAATAATTGCTGTGTTTGTTGCATCCATCTTTTGATTTTAGATCCAAAGACCTTCATGAACAAATACTGTGGAAAGCAGTTTCTTGGATACCTTATTTTAAATCAAGAAGCTACCTTTAGAAAAACAAAAATGAGCAAATCACAGAAACCAAACAACAGTGATGTTTTTGACAAAACAATTTCAAAGGGAACTTACCCAAAAGGATGTCAAACTTCCTGCAATGGAGTTAAACCATACACTTGTGTTATGTGTGATAAAGAATTTGGTAAAAAAGGTGTTCTAAAAAAACATGAGAAGACACATACTGAGGAGAAGCCATACAACTGTATTGTGTGTGGCAAAAACTTTGGAACTAATAGTCACTTAAAAATACATCAGAGAATACACACTGGGGAGAAACCATACAGTTGTGTAGTGTGTGGCAAAAAATTTAGAACAAATACAAACCGAAAAATCCATGAGAGGATACACACTGGGGAAAAAAGATACAGCTGTGTAGTGTGTAAAAAAGAATTCTATTGTAAAAATGTCCTAGAAAGACATCAGAGAATACACACTGGGGAGAAACCATATAATTGTGTAGTATGTGGAAAACAATTTGGAACAAATAGTAACTTAAAAATACACAAAAGGATACACAGTGGGGAAACGCCATATCATTGTGTTGCCTGTGGCAAAGACTTTAGAAGCAGCAGTTCACTAAAAAAACATGAAAAGATACATACTGGTGAAAAACGTTACAGTTGTGTAGTGTGTGGCAATCAATTTGGAAGAAATTGTGATCTAAAAATGCATGAGAGAATACACACTGGGGAGAAACCATTTTGCTGTGCTGTATGTGGAAAAGAATTTAGAAGTAATGGTAACCTAAAAATACATCAGAAAATACACACTGGGGAGAAGCCTTACAGTTGTTTTGTTTGTAGAAAAGAATTTGGAACTAAAAATAACTTAAAAATTCACCAAGTAATTCACACTGGGGAGAAACCTTACAATTGTGTAGTGTGTAGCAAAAAGTTTGGAAGTAACAGTTCATTAAAAAAGCACGAGAAGATACACACTGGTAAAAAACAGTTCTGTTGTATAGTATGTGGCAATCAATATGGAAGAAATAGTGATCTAAGAATACATGAAAGGATACACACAGGAGAGAAGCCATACAGTTGTGCAATGTGTGGAAAAGAATTTAGAAGCAATAGTAACCTAAAGTTACATGAGAGGATACACACAGGGATAAAACCATACAATTGTGGAGTGTGTGGGAAAATATTTGGAACTAGTAATAACTTAAAAAGACATGAGAAAATACATACTCATGAAAAACTTTAAAAGTTGGGATGTTTTTTGGAAAAAGAAAATTTTTACAACTTCATTTATGAAACAGTACTGAATCAACTACAATTAAAATAGACCCTAGTATTTGTGTAGGGAAACACATCATGATAATACAACAGTAAATTAACAAAGAATGATTTGTAAGCATGATGATATTAATTGTAGAAAATATACTACACATTTTAACAGTAGCTGAACAAGAAGAACTAGGTACTGTCAAAACATGCATATTTTCTACAATAAATGTCATAATAATAAGTTTTTTATTAATTTATAGGCCCTACATTTGTGAAACATGAAATAGTTTGGAATAATAGTTTTCTGTAATTATTAAGATTGTTTGTGTCATTATTTTAGTTCAATAGATCTGTATAGGAAAAAAAAACTGTGTAAAAGGAATTCCTAGTTATCCTGTTTCAATGCAAGAAGCTCTTCTAAACAGAAAACCAACAAGTCTTTGAATCCAAGATGGGTTGGTTCATGTATTTTGCAAAATATTTTTCAATGAGAAATTCCCTAAAAAGACAACATGTACCCTATGATAATAGTTGTATAACATATTACAAAGAATTTGGAAATAAAAATTTCCTACAAAAACATTGGCGGATACACCCCGTGCAAACTAGAAATACTATGTTTGTGATGAGAAAATGTTTACCAAATTCACAAGTAAAACTAATTACAGTGATTTACAATATATATTTTTATGTGGTGTTTTTGCAAAGAATTACCTGCTAAAAGATACTTGAAAGGAATATCAGTGGATATATTACATGGAGAAACAGTACTAATGTCACATATGTGACAATGAATTTACACACTGTTAAAATGTGAAGAGATGGCGAATTATGCACAGTAGTAATTTATATTTGTGTGGTATGTGATAAAGAATTTGGAAGCAAGAGATAACTAAAAACACTTGAAAGAATTTACACTGGAAAAAAAAATGTGTGTTTGTGGTTGAGAATTTGTAAGAAATATAATTGAACTTACACTTGTGAAAATATGTAGAGTTTATTTAGACATCTGGGTAGTATGTGGAGAAAGACTTGGGAAACAGTGATGGCCTAAAACAGTATCAGGGAATATGTATTGCAGAATGTTTTTGTGACAACTGTGGCCACGAATTTTCCAGATAGATCTTACTTAGAAAAGAATCAAAGTGTGGAGATAAAACATATAGTTATGAAACGTTTAACAAAGAACTTAAGGGAGAGAAAATTATGAAATATTATTGTATAGAATTCACAATATAAAATACCAATTTTTAATGGTTGTAACTGTTCAGGAATAAGACGAAAACCTTGTATGTTTACCAAAAATTTTTTCCTTTATAGTTTAAATTTTTTTTCATGATTTACAAAAATTGATTTCTTATTGGATGTAATATTACATCATAATAAGACAGATGATAATTTAAGTAACATTATCCTTTACTGAACTTGTATAGCTTTGAAATAAGAAGAGAGTATAATCAAACCTTTCCTGTTGTTATGACTGATGAGGTCATCAAATTAATTGTATTACAAGGTATAGAGTATTACGATATTGTGAAATGCTTTTTATATCGGTCATTTATGGGACATCAAGTCTAATGATTCAACTTACATTTTTAATTATAATAGGGTAGTTGTGTTTGAAAGTTGAGGTTTACATAATAAAGCACTTTTTTGAGTTAGTTTTCCTAGACTTTTAGCAATCTGCTAACTGTTTGTGAACCTAGTACAATACAGGATGTAAAATGTTGGAGCATTCACGGTTACATATGTGATGTAAGCTAGCTTTTAAGACTTTATGCTAGTAGAATTATGATGCTACATATTATGAATAGAAGTATTTCTTTTCTTACTTACATTCTTGGTAAGAATATACCTGAAATCTGTGTTGTTATAAGCTGAACATAATATAACATTAATGAAAGAACATAAAAACTAAGTATATTTAAGATACTAAACTATCTTGTGTGATTTTCTAATTTGACAGTTTTAACAGCTGAGATGCTAATATGAAAATGTAGTACTTTGTATATGTTAAAGTTCCAAGTAGTACAAGTCATTTCTCAGCATACTCAGGAATATTTTGACTTAACCTGGGCATAAACACCATTGTGACCCATCATAATATAGCAAGACTTCAATACAGTTTAAAACATTTCATGTATATGTAGTAAAGGTACAAGCCATCCATCATCCACATTCATGTTGGCAAGATTCATATTGTGATGTGTTTGCCATCAAACACGTAATTAATGCAAACTTCTGGGCTTTTATGGGCCCCCACACCTTTACTTCATCAGTCCTGACATGAAATAAATTGGAATCTAATTTTTGTGGCAAGATCTTTGAGACAGAACTCTGTCAAAGGACTTGCAGTAATATATATATATATAATCAACTGCATGCATATGACAGAGTTCTGTCTCAATTTTATATTTCCAGTTTGAATGCTGTTCAAAGATTGTTATTTGAGCAAACTGTCTATTCTATCACTTGTAAGTTTTTATTTTGTATGGTAACAAATAGTATTAAAATTGATCTTGTCACTTATATGAAATTCCTTTGACTTGTTTTTTTGGATGGCACTATAATGACCACTACTTATATAAAAATGTTCTATTTTTGAAATCTGAATGTTTGCAAACCCAACATTTTCATCTGTAATTTCCTTACCAACCAATTAACTAATTTCACATTGGAAGTGCTTAGTCTTTTCTTTCATGGTTGTAATTTCTAATTGGGAAACTTTCCATACTGTATTTAGTTTCCTTTTGTAACACTTGGTAACTCCCATCCCTTCCCTAATCATGTAAATTTATGAACTCTCCAATAATTACATTAACGAAAACATTGTTCATTCAAGCTTAAATTTTCTGGGGAAAAGGTTTGTAATAGGTTGTCTTGACATTTCAGTTCTATTTATTTAAAGAAAAAAAAAGAAATGACACACACACATAGAAAAATTATGAACTTCTAAGTTAGTTAACTTTCATCCACCTAGCAGTAACTGTCATCAACCTCATCTAAATGTTCTGAATGAAATTTTATAAAATACAAGTAGCTAACACAAAAATACTGTGGTTACTATTTGTAAGTCTGCTGATACGATCCAAAAGTTGTGTCCTTCAACATTTTTGAATATGGAGAATACACGTTTTGTATAGCATTTTGTATTCCATGTTACGATTGTTAAACAAAGGTTGCTATTAATATGATTTAATACTTTATTGTAGTTGTATATTAGAATAGAGATTTAAAACATTTCCATAATTGTATAAAGTTTATTTATAAATTACTATATTTTTATCCTTTCTTTTAATTGGAAATTTGTATACCTATTAGAACATCTGTTGTGGAAAGTCATTTTTTGGAGGGTACTGCAGTTTAACAGGCAGGAGTTTGCTATACAATTAGAAAATGCTAATCTGAGAAACCAAGCACAATTGATATATTAAAAATGTTTTCAAGTGGAAATGGCTTGGGAAAATATCTGATTTCTGAAATTGCAGTATAACTATACAGTCGTTTTTTGTATGACAGAGAGTTTTTTGGTAATGGTATTCTTAAGAAAACAGGAAGGGAAACACACTGGAGAAAAAAAAAACATACCAGACAAATGAGTAATATGTGCTGAATAGTTTGAAAATAAATAGTAATAACCTAAAAATACATCAGAAGACACACACTGAACAAAAAATATTACAGTTCTGTTATGTGTGGCAGTTTATGTGGAAGAAACAATGACCTAAAAATGCATGGGAGGATATACAGAGAAAAAAAACATATAGTTATGTAGAATGTAGAGTTCAGTCTCTATAAAGATATCAGTTGAGAAAATCACTTTTATACCTTAAATTACCCTAAATAATATAAAATAATCAAGAAAAAATGATAAAGTGTTGAGAAAAAAAATGTTCAGGTAATTATAAAAAGGTGTATGCCTCAGTTCTTTATTATGTATTTTTCAAAAATTATGTTTACTTTTTCATCTTGACAGACTCGCACACTGCATCAGTATTTAAGTTAGGTTCTCTGTCTTTTAACAAGTTGTGTTTATTAAACATATTTCACGTTACTTGCTAATGAATTAATCATACTAGTGATGGCAGTATTGAACAAGATTTTCAGAGTTATGTATTCACTGCTTTGTTATTAATCTAATAGTTTTTAAAATTTTATATTTGCAGAATGGGAAGGATACTTGCTTGTAGAAGTATTTTTTCTCACAGCACCCCACGTTTTACTTAACATACCAAAGTTTTGAATCTAACTGTATATACATGTCATTTACTGATTGAGAAACAGTATTACTATTAAAATGGTTGAATGATAAACATTGAGGTACAGCTTTTGAATGGATTATTTATTTTTATTTAACTTTATTACAACATTTCGACCACTCATGTGGCCATCATCAGGTAACTGTCCAAACTAATCAGACTTGAAGCAAAAATTCAAATTCAAGTTTATTTGTTAGTTCTCTATAATCAAAGATAATACCCAATTTTGAAATTAATTGACAGTAATGTGTAAATGTTCAAACTCAAAAGCTGTACCTCTGGATGTTTATTTAAAGTATATAGTGGATTTCCTCTCCTCACAACAATGGTTGAAAGATGTTTACAGTTGGCTTCATACTTCGTGTAGTGTCACAGATCCCTTAATACTTTTTGTTCTTGATTTCTGTTTAATTGTTAGTCACTTTTTAATCTATCATAAATTCGACTTATTGAGGAATATGATTTGATATTATAATTTATTGTTTCAATCCAATTGTGGTAGCCACAGTCCAGTATAAACACAGGTTGTCAGTATGAACTCTGCATGTTCATGTTTAATTGTTATCATGATGATAAACCTTGAATTAAAATGAGATTTCAGATTTATAATTTATCTTTCTCCTAGTGGCACAAAATTAGCCTCAATGCTAGTTCTAGCTAATTATCAAGAAAGCTTGTTTGAATTTGAACATTTAAATATTATTGTCAATGAATTTAAAAATTGTGTATTATCTTTGATTGCAAAGAACTAAAAATTAAACTTCAATTTGAATTCTTGTTTCAAATCTGATAATTTAGGAGTCTTTTTCAGGATTAAACTACAACCATCTGTACATGTAAGAAGAATACCGTATTTTTTGGTGTATAAGACGCATTTTTTTACCCCAAAATTTGATGTCAAAAGCTGCTTGCATCCTATACACCGAAGGTATGAATAATATATTTATGTATATATATTCGATATACACTAGCCATGTGTAAATATATTTAAATA